AAATAAGCAGTGTGTATAAGTTTCCTGAAATTTGCTTGATGTAATCTAAAGTAAGAGAGCGGAAACCAATTTCGAATGGGTGTACGGACGTATATCATCGTCATGAGAAAAGCTTAAAAGCCCCGTCGACTCGCCGTACGGCGGTGGTATAATAAGAAAAATGCCATCGGTGCTTTCATACTAGTGATAAAATGTGTTTTCAGATACCAGACGGTTGGACAAACGACTTTCGTTTAGTGATGACAAATAGGTTAGACTAGCTAAACCCGAATTAAATAGAAATGTATTCCGTTTTATAAACTCTAACATAGAATGCTGAAAACCGTTAATATTTTACATGTAAATTTATATCTGCGCAAAGTTAGTCAACACTCCCCCCCCCCTTTTTTTGAGGATTCAACAATATATTAATATACGGTTTGCTGGAAATTAGACGCGTGTTTCATGATGATTTTTTTTACCCGGGGTATAAAGAACTAAGATAAATTCAGGTTCAAACGTTGTAATTTACACAGTCTATAATATAGTAGCAATTGGGGTCTGTTATTAACAATTTAATTTAGGACGTGTGAACTTTTAGAAATTGACTGTTTTTCGGACAGAGTAGGGATTTCCATAAACACTATTATTTTTTTTTTGTCGGTATACTATTGAATTAGACACAATTTTAAAGTCACTGTCCTAGTAACATGATGAAACTTGATGTCATCCCAGGAATTTCAGACCAGGATATTGTGTATTCAGAAATGAACACCAATCCAATGACAAACAAACAAAAGCCAGGAATAGTCCAACTGTATAGAAGAGCTAATATAATATAAATGGGACAGCATAAAAGAGGATATGAATTTGCTTTATATCAAAATTCAAAAAGAAAGCCTGATCAAGAAGACACACATCAAAATACTCTGGAACATGTTCAAAGAAGACCTAGAAAGCAGTACTAACCAGCAAATACCTTCCAAAGTATGCAAGACTAAGGACAAAAACCCATGGATAACCCAGGAAATCAAAAAACTTATGAGGCGAAGAGACTGAGCATATAAAAAGAAAAAGAAATCAAACCATGCTACTGATTTAAAAGATTTAAACAACTGAAACAAACCATCCAAAGAAAATCAAGACAAGCCTATTGGAAGTATATAGAAGACGTAATAACTCCAGAAGATAACGAGGACATCCGTTCACCAACAAAAAGATTCTGGACCTATATCAAACACAAGAAAAGTGATAAAAATGGAGTAGCACCACTTAGAAGAAATGGGAAATTAGAAAGTGACCCAATAAATAAAGCAAATATTCTAAATGATCAATTTCAATCAGTCTTCTCTGCTGCATGTCCAATCAGTAAACGAGATTTTGAAAAGAAAACACTCATGTCAGATCTACCAGAAAATTATCCAGACAAGTCAGCGAACAAATAATCATCACAAATAATGGAGTGGAAAAACAACTGAAAAATCTAAAACCACACAAGGCTGCTGGACCAGACAACATCAAGCCAATGATTCTGAAAGAACTAGCCAGTGAAATTGCTCCAATCTTAACCATCATATACAATTTTTCAAAGGAGAAAGGAAAGATACCCGATGACTGGCAAACTGCAAATGTCACTCCGGCATATAAGAAAGGCCAGAAATACATAGCAGCTAACTATAGGTCAATATCCCTAACATGTATCTGCTGCAAAATAGTAGAACATATAGTCACCAGTAACATCATGAAACATGCAGAGGTAAATAACATCCTATACCAACTACAACACGGCTTCAGAAGTAAAAGATCATGCGAAACACAACTCCTTGAATGTATCGATGACATCACAAATAAAATGCTTCGCTGGGGCGCAGCTTGATACGACCGCAGAGGTCGAACCCTGAACAGTTGGGGCAAGTATGGACACAACATTCAAGCTTGATACAGCTCTGAATTTGGATTGTTATTAAATATTTGACACAGTATAGGTTTCTGACACAGTGGTCTAAGAACTTGATTTTTTTTAATTTACCTATTATGGTCCAATGTCCAAAATCAAAATACATGGTTAGATTCAGCATATCAAAGAACCCCATATATTCAATTTTTGTTAAAATCAAACAAAGTTAAATTTTGGACCCCAACTTGGACAAACTTGAAAACTGGGCCCATAATCAAAAATCTAAACACATGTTTAGATTCAGCATATCAAAGAACCCCAAGAATTCAATTTTTGTTAAAATCAAACTAAGTTTAATTTTGGACCCTTTGGACCTTAATGTAGACCAATTTAAAAAACAGGACCCAAAATTAAAAATCTAAATACACGGTTAGATTTGGAATATCAAAGAACCCCAATAATTCAATTTTAGATGAAATCAAACAGAGGTTTAATTTTGGACCCTTTTGACCTCAATATGAACCAATTTGATAACGGGGTCCACAAATAAAAAATCTAAATACATGGTTTGATTCAGCATATCAAAGAACCCCATATATTCAATTTTTGTTGAAATCAAACAAAGTTTAATTTTGGACCCCAATTTGGACCAACTTGAAAACTGGGCCAAAAATCAAAAATCTAAATACATGTTTAGATTCAGCATATTAAAGAACCTCATATATTCAATTTTTGCTAAAATCAAACAAAGTTTAATTTTTGACCCTTTGGACCTTAATGTAGACCAATTTGAAAACTGGACCCAAAATTAAAAATCTAAATACACTGTTAGATTCGGCATAACAAATAAATAAATGTGATCAAAGATTTTACAAATCTAATGCGCCATACTGTGCAATTAAAGATTACTTCTTGAAATTTTTCAATATTTGAAATTTGAAAAAAAAAATAATATTTGAAGAATAATTCTTTTTAATTTCTGAAATCTGAAATGAGAAAAAATTGACCCCCCACAATTTCTTTTTATTCCCCCACCTTTTTTCCCCAAAAAAATTCTTCCCCTCAAGATATTGTCATAATCTCAATTCAAATTTCCAATGGAGTTGGAAACCATAATTACCCATTTAAATTTACCAAAGTGCTAACTTAATCTATTTTATAATAGAATTAAAAATATAGTGTCAAATCTTTCATATGGATTTTTTTGTAAAAAAAAAAATGCAACATTTGCAGATATTTTTACTGGTCTTCCTTTATAAATATGCATTTCTTTAAACATAATTTAAAAGAAGTGTAAGGGAAGTAACCAAAACGTTGTATTTGGATTACCTCCCTTACACTGTTTTAAATTATCTTTATTGTTCATTAACCATTACTTTACACATAATTTAAAAGGAGTGTAAGGGAGATAATTTCAATGATGTATTTGATTTATCTCCCTTACACTGCTTTAAATTATGTTTTGTACTAAAGTATTTGTCCATTAACCAGGACAACCTTGTTTTCCCCCCTTTTTTGCCCCTAATTCCTAACGGTTTGAGCCATAACCCCCCAAAGCAAATCCTAACCATCCCTTTGTGGTATGGAAACTTGTAGTATAATTTCAGAGAGATCAATACACCGAAACTAGAAAATGCTTTTTTTTGGCCCCGAATTCCCTAACTGTTGGTACAATAACCCCCAAAATCAATCCCAACCTTCCTTTTGTGGTATTTAACCTTATGGTCAAATTTCAAAAAGATCCATTCACTTAAACTAAAGTTAGAGTGCGAAAACCAATGGGTGTCTTCGGACGACGACACCGACGTCATACCAATATACGACCACAAAATTTTTTTGCTGTCGTATAAAAACCTGGAAAATGGAGAACAATCAGATCTGCTAATACTTGACTTTTCAAAAGCTTTTGTGGTATTGTACCTTGCAGTACAATTTCAGAGAGATCTATATACTTGAACACAAGTTATTGTCTGGAAACTAGAAAAATGCTTGTTTTTTGGCCCCAAATTCCTAAACATTTAGGGCAATTACCCCCACACTCAAACCCAGCTTTCCCTTTTGTGATATGGAACCTTGTAGTACAATTTCATAGTGATCCATACTTACACACAAGTTATTGTCCTGAAACTAGAAAAATGCTTATTTTTGGACCCTTATTCCTCAACTGTTGGTACCATAACCCCCAACCTTCCTTTTGTGGTATTGAACCTTATGGTAAAATTTCACAGAGATCCATTCACTTAAACTAAAGTTAGATTGCGAAAACCAATGTGTCTTCGGACGACGACGATGATGCCAACATCATACCAAATATACGACTGCAAAATTTTTTTTGCAGTCGTATAAAAACTAAAAGTTAGAGAACGGAAACTTCAGCAATTTTTCCATTTGTAGGGCATAACTCTAGAACGGTTAAAGTGACACCACCATAATTCAAACTTGATTTGTATTATGTGGTAATAAATATTGTTTACAAGTTTCATAGCATTTGGTTGAGGCAAACTTAAGTTAGAGAACGGAAATGAAAAATACAGCAATTTTTCCATTTGTAAAGGGGCATAACTCTAGAATGGTTAAAGTGACGCCACAAAAATTCAAACTTGATCTGTGTTTTGTGGTAATCAGCATTGTGTACAAGTTTCATAACATTTGGGTCAGGCAAACTGAAGTTAGAGAACGGAAACCAACTTTGGGACATACGTATAGACGGACAAGGGTAAAACTTAATGCTCCCTCTGCTACGACAGGGGCATAAAAAACCCTCATCTTGCTCGATGATTTAGAGCATATTTGCAGATATTTTACTTTAAAACACTATGTATATTGCAACCATCTTGAGTCGGGTTCAATCTTTCAAAGTATTAAATTACAATTGATCATCCCCTATGAAATTTTACATTGAATTATCTCATTTGAATGCCTCAACAGATCCATTTTAGATTATAAAATTCACTACTCAATGCAATGTGATTTGAGGAGAAGCACCAAATACCAATTTTCAAGTCTGATTTGACCATGGTACAAATAAAACACAACCTCCCATACTTACAGTAAGCTACAGTAAGCTAGCTAACATGAAACCACCAGGGAAGCTAAACACTCCTTTGAACAATAATAACGCTGATTACCAATATTTTCTTTAATTCTATATGACATATACAAGCAATGATGGTAAAAACTACATGATAAAATGGACTGATGTTGTAAAAATCTAGTTAAAATAAGACATATATAAATACAACCATAGAGCACCAGATGGGAGTGTCCATTCTTTTGATTTTATGCTAACATAAATCATAAAACTACTATGCCATTAGATGTAATTTCATGAAAATGAGTGATTATATACATTACTACATGAAAATGTCAATGAATAATTCAACCAGGAAACATATTAAATCAAATATGTTATTGTTGAAACCTATTAAATTTCTTTTCCTGATTGAGATAATGAATAATAATGAAAACATTAAGTGGACACGTAATCAACATTGAAGCAAATGTCCCCTGAGTTGATATGTGTAGAACATAAAACTATGAAAAAAATTGTCATGTATTTCGTAATATATTATAACTGAAAATAGCAAGAAAAGATTACTACATGAAGTTGTAAAATTTGTTGATAGGAAGAAGTTAACACTCTACTTCATTCTAATACTTCCATTTTTATACAAAGACTTGGATAAGTCTTCATTAACTGCTCTTTTTCCCCCAAGTCAGCATATATACTAATTTATAACGAAAAATAACTTAATATCCACAAATATTTGATGACAACTCTTTCTGTTACAATATAACTGAATTACAAAAAAAAACAATGTTCGCTTTTAAATAACTGTTTAGTTTTCAATTAATAAAAGATGTTTTTGGACTGGAATTTTGCACATCAGGTGTTTAGGACTGGCCACCATAATAAAATATATCTCTTCATTCATCATCTTCCTCTTCCTCTTCTTCATCCTCTTCCTCATCCTCCTCTTCTTCATCCTCCTCCTCCTCTGACACACCATTAGGTTCCTCTACTACTTTGGCTTTCTTTGCTGCTGATGCTCCACCATTCTGAAAATGAATTTTGAGATGATTTACTCTACATAACTACTTTGCATTAAGACTTTCAACTATTGTGTCTTCAGGTTTTTCTCTCATTTTGCAATCAATCAAATAGGGGAAAATATAACAATGTAAATATAATAAATAAGGAGCTGTGCCATGAGCGCATGATACGCCCGTCACTTTTTCAAAGAATAAAGTTCCACAACTCCTAAATGTCATAATTTATAAAAAAAACAAAAGGGAGGTTATTTTAATAGATATAAACCAGCAGGGGTTAAAAAACCACTAGCCCGACGCCCGCGACTAGAGAATTTACGCATTCAGGCAATCAAAAAACGTGTAACCCAATATGCCCGACAGACTAGTAACAAAAAATAGTTTGGGTTTCCAAAATAGAAAGCAGAAAATCCCTTCATCACTATTTTATCTTAGCCAATCAGATTCAGTTACGTCATCCGTGATTCCAAGAATTTGAATAACTCAAATGATTCAGCCCCCTCTATCGGTCAGTGTCCTCTCGTAGTAGCGATCGATAGTGAGTCGGAATATAACGACTGGATTAGTCGGGATAGAATTTTAACTGATTTTGTACATGTTTTAATAAAATGCTCCGCTGGGGCGCAGCTTGATACGACCGCAGAGGTCGAACCCTGAACAGTTGGGGCAAGTATGGACACAACATTCAAGCTTGATACAGCACTGAATTTGGATTGTAATTAAATATTTGACACAGCATAGGTTTCTGACACAGAATGAAAGTGGTCTAAGAACTTAAAAATTTTTAATTTACCTATACAAACCATATCATTATTATTTGCTTTTATATATATATCAGAAATAACCAATTTAAAATGGAAAATTTTAAGGTAAAAAAAAGGAAAAAAAAATCCCTCCCCCAAATTTTTTGAACCCCCTTATGATTCATCACCCCCAAACTCAATCCCAGCCTTCCCTTTGTGATATGGTACCTTGCAGTACAATTTCAGAGAGATCCATACACTTGAACACAAGTTATTGTCTGGAAACTAGAAAAATGCTTGTTTTTAGGCCCCTTTTTGGCCCCAAATTCCTAAAAGTTTTGGACAATTACCCCCAAACTCAATTCCAGCTTTCCCTTTGTGATATGGAACCTTGTGGTACAATTTCATAAAGATCCATACACTTACACACAAGTAATTGTCATGAAACTAGAAAAACGCTTGTTTTTTGCCCCTTTTTGGCCCCCAATTCCTAAAATTTGGAGGCAATTACCCCCAAAATCAATCCCAGCATTCCCTTTGTGATATGGAACCTTGTGGTACAATGTCAGAGAGATCCATATACTTACACACAAGTTATATCTGGAAGTTACAAAAATGCTCATTTTTTACCCCTTTTTGGCCCCTAATTCCTTAACTGTTGGTACCATAACCCCCAAAATCAATCCCCACTTTCCTTTTGTGGTATTGAACCTTATGGTAAAATTTCATAGAGATCCATTCACTTAAACTAAAGTTAGAGTGCGAAAACTAATGTGTCTTTGGACGACGACGCCGCCGCCGTCATATTTCTAAATATTTTAGCACGGGCACCCCAGGAACTTCATCAGTTTCAAAACAAAAAAGGTAGATGAAGAGGGTAATGAGACTGAAAATTCATCCAAAAAAAATGCCAAATACGAAAAGCAGAAAAGAACATTTATAGTTACAGGGACAGAAAGATTCCCCTGGTCAAGGTTGGCTGTTGCTGATGATAAACTAGAGACGATGTTTTGTGAATTTTACTGTTTTTTTTCCTGATCACGCTAATGAAGTCTGCTTTGTATGTCACTATGTGGGAACAACAAATATATGAATTGAACTACTGGTTTCACATGACAGTATGAATAAATATGTTTTCTGTGTCCGAAAATATTTAACAACCCATAGTACATCTAAAGATCCTTGTTATAATTAATAAAACAAAAATTGATTTAATTTATTTGATTAAATACTGTGAATAATGCCGCCTTCAAAATAAGGGACACCCACTTTTTATTATGCAGCAAACTCTGAATTTGTAAGGTATACTCAGGCTAGCAGTTCTTTCAACAGGGCTAGTGAAATCCTGCTACCAATAAGTCCTGGGCTAGTGAGCTGTAACAAAATCTTTTAACCCCTGACCAGTCACCAAAGTTTCATGAAAACTGCTCAATGCACTTATGGAGTTATTGTCTGAAAACTGAAAAATCCCCCCTTTATTATGAATAAAATCCCATAACTCTGAAACGTAAATTCTAAAATTTATATAAATAGAAAGGGAGCTTACATCAATAGATATAAACAATTCACTAAAGTTTCACAAAAACTGCTCAAAGCATTTTCGAGTTATTGCCTGAAAACTGGAAAATCCCCCTTTTTTAATGAATAAAACCCCGTAACTCGGAAAAGTAAAATCAATAAACTGCTTCGCTGAGCGCAGCTGGATACACCCACAAAGGTCCAACCCTCAACAGTTTGGGCAAAAATGGACACAATATTCAAGATTGATACAAGTCTGAATTTGGATTGTAATTAAATATTTGACATATTAGGTTTCTGAATAAATGTAGTCAAAGAACTTAAAATTGGTTATATGAATTGAATTTATATTCAACAAGAAATGATTGTAACAGGATGCTGTTACGAAGTCTCCCAAACGAAGCTCCCATAATGCGAAATTCCCAGTGTCGCCTAACATTGGACAAAGTCCAGTGAAAATTGGTTTGGTCCAGTAAAGTATATGCATTAGTGATGCCTGGGGACTAACCCTGTATATCATTCCAATCATCTTGGCATGACAAACCAGATTATATATGGTTTAGGGGTGGGGATCTCGACCATTTACAAGATACTAGAACATTGGGGGTGGGGGAACCCCATTGGGACTGACCCTATACATCATTCAAATGTTCAAGACATGACGAACAGGAATATATATGGTTAAGGTGTGGGGATCTCAACCATTTACAAGATATTAGAACATTGGGGGTGGGGGGAACCCCTCGGGACTGACCTTATACGTCATTCAAATGTTCGCGACATGATGAACAGGAATATATCTGGTTTAGGGGTGGGGATCTTGACCACTTACAAGATATTAGAACTTTCTTAAATGGCAGGGGGTGGGGGTAACCCCTGGGGACTAACCCTGTATTTCATTTGATGTGCTTTATCATGACAAACCAGAATATATATGGTTTAGGGGTGGGGATCTCGACCATTTACAAGATATAACTTTCTCAAATGGCAGGGGGTCGGGATGACCCCTGGGGACTAACCCTGTATATCATTCAAACCATCTTAGCATGACAAACCAGAATATATATGGTTTAGGGATCTCGACCATTTACAAGATATTAGAACTTTCTCAAATGGCAGGGGGTCGGGATGACCCCTGGGGACTAACCCTGTATATCATTCAAACCATCATAGCATGACAAACCAGAATATATATGGTTTAGGGGTGGGGATCTTGACCACTTACAAGATATTAGAACTTTCTAAAATGGCAGGGGGTGGGGGTAACCCCTGGGGACTAACCCTGTATTTCATTTGATGTGCTTTATCATGACAAACCAGAATATATATGGTTTAGGGGTGGGGATCTCGACCATTTACAAGATATAACTTTCTCAAATGGCAGGGGGTCGGGATGACCCCTGGGGACTAACCCTGTATATCATTCAAACCAGAATATATATGGTTTAGGGATCTCGACCATTTACAAGATATTAGAACTTTCTCAAATGGCAGGGGGTCGGGATGACCCCTGGGGACTAACCCTGTATATCATTCAAACCATCATAGCATGACAAACCAGAATATATATGGTTTAGGGGTGGGGATCTTGACCACTTACAAGATATTAGAACTTTCTTAAATGGCAGGGGGTGGGGGTAACCCCTGGGGACTAACCCTGTATTTCATTTGATGTGCTTTATCATGACAAACCAGAATATATGGTTTAGGGGTGGGGATCTCGACCTTTTACAAGATATTAGAACTTTCTCAAATGGCAGGGGGTCGGGATGACCCCTGGGGACTAACCCTGTATATCATTAATCCATCATAGCATGACAAACCAGAATATATATGGTTTAGGGGTGGGGATCTTGACCACTTACAAGATATTAGAACTTTCTTAAATGGCAGGGGGTGGGGGGTAACCCCTAGGGACTAACCCTGTATTTCATTTGATGTGCTTTATCATGACAAACCAGAATATATATGGTTTAGGGGTGGGGATCTCAACCATTTACAAGATATAAGAACTTTCTCAAATGGCAGGGGGTCGGGATGACCCCTGGGGACTAACCCTGTATATCATTCAAACCATCTTAGCATGACAAACCAGAATATATATGGTTTAGTGGTGGGGATCTCGACCATATACAAGATATAAGAACTTTCTCAAATGGCAGGGGGTCGGGATGATCCATGGGGACTTGCCCTGTATATCATTCAAACCATCATAGCATGACAAACCAGATTATATATGGTTTAGGGGTGGGGATCTCAACCATTTAAAAGATAGAACTTTCTTAAATGGCAGGGGGTGGGGGTGACCCCTGGGGACTAACCCTGTATTTCATTTGATGTGCTTTATCATTTAGAACATTTTCAATTAAAAAGATTGTGTCTATCACAAACGGTTTTCAATTTATAATCATTTGAAAATTAAAAAAAATAAAATCCCATAGTGTTCTATAGTAAAACCCTCCTTTCTTTTTGCCCCTCAAAGTACCCCTTTATAAACCCCAATGCACAAACAAAACCCTGATTGCACCACTAGACATGTTAGTCTAGCATATTGTGAAACCCTAAGTTAATCTGGAAAATCCCCCTTTTTTTAATGAATAAAACCCCACAACTCGGAAACATAAAATCTAAAATTTATAAAAAATTAAAGGGAGCTCACGTCAATAAATATAAACAATTCACCAAAGTTTTATCCAAATTGGTTTAATTGTTTTTGAGTTAATGTCGGACATGTTGTAGACGGTCGGACAAAGGTATACCATAATACGTCCCGTAAACAACAGGCGTATAAAAATTGATAAAAATTGAAAGGGAGCTCACGTCAATAGATATAATTCACCAAAGTTTCATGCAAATTGGTTACAGCGTTTTTGAGTCCGACATGTTGATGACGGATGGACAACGGTATACCATAATACGTCCCGTAAACGGGCTTATAAAAATATGCTTTGTTGGAAATATGGAAAGAGAATTTGTGTTTCAAAAAAAATATTATCCTCAACATTTTTGGATTTTGTGAAAAATATTTCTTTTAAAATATCCTGTGTTGACCATCATTGATGTCAAGGTCTTGCTACTAGTTTCACAAATATGAAATTTATGAATGGTCCATAAAAATTTTCATGGTCAGATGAACCCTGTTAAGCAGGCATGTATTCCTTACTTTCATTCATGTAATATTCATTGCTAAAGCAAGTTGACATGTTGTTCTTACCTCCTTGTACTCTTTTATCTCTTTTTCATATTTTTTTACTTCTTCTGCATTTTTATCTTGATAAGGTTTCTTTTCTTTACTTGACATGTCACCCCAAACTTTACCAGCTGCAAGTATGTACCAAAGAAATTTTAAATATGTGAAACTGATTAAATTTAAGCAATTCCTGCATCTATCTTTTTTTATTGTATCATAATTAGCATTTAAAACACCTAAATGACAAATATTTCTGTAAAAACTGTAAAATTAAATAAAAGCAGATACCAGTGATCGGGAAGGACGTGCGCCTTGCGCTTATCGACCAGAAATGGCGCATAGATTGACAAATGTAAGCGCCCGCGTGACGCATGATATTTTTCACTTCGTTTTGAAACGTTGAGATATCGTCAAATGGATTTCCGATCGTATTTCGTGCCGCCATTTGTGAGTACACAACTGTGTAGTGTTTACTCCAATGATAGGAGCACCTATATATTTTTGGGACGTCTCGGGTGTTTTCCTATGGTAATAATAGCAACATGCGGTATGACTGATTACCCAAAAAACGTAATTAGCCATCATTCATGATATATTTTTTTATAAACGACTTTAAATTTGTGAAAATTGGCTAGTACAGGCGAGAATTCTTCTCTAATTATAATCTTTTAAGTAAGCTTGCTATTATTTCATTTGAAAAACCCAAAAGCCTTTTTATGAATAGCATAGTATTTGTCTCCATAAAAGGGGCTTAACTGTCCTTGTCATTTTTTTTGGTCTTTGGCTCGTTTTGACATTTTGTAAACATGCCTTCAGCGAATTGTTGTTGTGTCTTATCAATTAACTGTTATTCTTGTCATCGCGATGAAGTAATAATAATACAAGTGCAGAGGAAATGCCAGAAACTTCCTCTAATACGGAACGTCTGGAATAAGTATGGTATCGACGAAGACCCAAATTTAATGTAAAAAAAAAAACATGAACATGAACAACATGAACAAGGGAACAGTACCAGTTTTAACATTGTAAATAAAGGTTATCGTAAATATTGCCCGGTTTGTAAGAAGTTATTGTATATTCATTGAAATTGAAATTACAAAATCACAGGAACAATATCCATGATATTAGTTAGAATCATACTTGTAAGTACAGTGAAATATACACTTTTTTTATTTTTTGTTTTTATTGTAAACGAATGGCCCACTCATTTGACAACATGGCCCATTAATTCTAAAAATGGCCCATTGAATTTATTTTTGGGGGGCCCTGGGCCCATAGAGAAAAAATCCTTCCAGATCACTGGATACACATGCATGAAACTGATGTTCTACATGTATATAAAATAAGTCTTCACCAAAATGCTGTTGGTCTGACAATCCAAAAAAATTTAACTGCTGATTCATTTGTTTGTCCGGTTTTGTATTGTCCCGATTCAGTTTCTGATTAAACATGAAATGACAGAGCATTGAGTTGTGCTCAATTCATTCATTTTAACCTTTATCGGAAATCCTCCACTTAAATACAATTAATATAACTTAAAAGGACTTTACAATCGTAATTTACCTTTTCATCTACTAATATTGCAATCACCATTTTTCAACACGAACCGAATAAGTGACAAAATTCTGAATACCTGTAAAATGATGTTTTCTGGTTTGGATTATTCCAGTCAATGTACAAGTCTGGGAATATCAGATTTCAACAGAATTTTTTTTTTCACTGCTCACCTGGGTTTGGATCAAAGTTGGCAGTTGCAGATTATTAGTCAAATATAAAGTAATTTATGATTGTAAAGATGTTTTAAGTAATATCCAAGTAGAAGCAGTGGAATACAGAAAATATACAATCAAACAAATGCTTTAGAATAACAAGCTGCAAAACACTTTAAAATGGAAGAGAGTATACCCCATAACTTGGATAATTTGATGGAGAGCTATTAGAAAACAATTATCAAAATCAAATCCCAAAATGCATTGAACAAAAGTTTGTTAAAGTAGTAATTTATCAAGTCGAACCAATTGTCTGGTGAAATTGATTCCAGTGTTTTGTTTTTAAATTTCTTAAGCATATTTGCACACATCAGTTGTTTAACTACTAACTTCTTTATATATGCAAAAATAATAGATAATAAACTGTAGACACAGATATATGCAAGTCTGGCCTACTGTACTGACAGTTATGCAACTTTTATAGAAAATATTATTGATCTATCACAAGTAGTTCTTATCCAACTAACAATCAGAAAACTTAACAAATGTTGATGCTGCCAGAAAAACAACACAAATGTCTTGCCTTCCTCCAATTTCGTTGCAGGCAAGACAAAAAGCACAAAATTGTTGTCAATCTTTGTACAATGAAGGATAACAAAAGGCTCAATCCTGGAAGTTAACCGTATGTATTGTTCCTCAGCCAGGTTCAGTGAACATGACTTTTTTCCATTTGGCGCAAACCCCACCACTCCAAAAAAAAACAAAACAACATCCTTGTGATTTTTTAGAATCGTTAAACATATATCTTGTCTTTATAACAGTTATTAACTAATCTTTGGTTCAGCAAAAAAGAGGAAGAAAAATTTGTACAATAAAGAACATTTTATTTACTTTTTTTTGTAATACCATTGAAAACAAAAAAAAATCTATTTTTACCAATTTTTGATAGAGGAAAGTATATCATAATGCAGCCCTCAAAGTAGCCTCTGAAATGAAGTGGCCAACAGACATGAAAATTTAGTCGCAAACTCAAAATTTCAGTGGCCAGGAAATAATCTCAGGTCGCCTACATTTTTTTCTAGCTAAACAACCCTTGCTAAATAAAAATATTAATTTTTTGTTCTGTGTTTTTATATTGTCAAGTGTAGAAAATAGTTTGTATAAATCAACTGTAAAATAACCACGATTTATTTAGTTTTATGTAACAATCTGTGACGTTAAGAGGTAGTCCGAAGCCCAGTCAAAAAAAAATCTCATCGGACTTTTGCAGAAGCACTGGTGATTGCCCCATAGGTCAAGTGAACATCTGAAATCTTTTGCGAAATTGTAGCTGACATTTTATTGAATCAATGTCGTAGACTATGAGAACAAGTTACAAAATTGTCGCCAACCTTGTTTCATCTGTTAACTGACGAAATCGAGAACGAGGCTCAACCATGTGCTTTCAATATAAACACAATCTTCAAATGCTAATGGGTTTCTTTCTGACTGCACGTAATAGTCAAAGTTGTGACTGAGAGCAAAATACGAAAATAGATGGATCTGTGCCATTTTCAGTCAATGCTTAAAAATGACCTACAATTGCCTGATGCAATAAAGCGCTGATAAGATCAAGCTTAAATCTAAAAGGCGCTTCAAATACAGTATAAATTTGTGTTACTGTCAAGCGCTCAGACAATTTTTTAAAACCCGACCTTTATCAGGGCAAATTTCCGAAAATTTCTGGTCGCCAGATCTTCAATATTCTAATAGCCCAAATGGCGACCAATTATGAATTTTTGGTCGCCAATCAGCTTTTAAAGTCGCCAGGCGACCATTTCAGTAGACTACATTGAGGGCTGTAATTGCAGTACATTAATGAATTCTTGACCATTTTGTTTAGTAAACAATTCTGACAGCCTCTGGTAACCAAATGTTGATGGGAGACTATTTGCTGAAGGGTAAAAGATGTCCAAATTTATTTGGTCCAGTAAAGGTTTATTCTGTCCAGTAATTTCTCAATCTTTGGTGGACTCAATGTCCAATAAAAACACAGAAGACCTTGTGAATTACTGTAAGCAACTTAACAATTTCATCTGACTTACCACTACAAATCAGATCTTTATTGCTAATATCTGAACCTTTCATTTTCTTTCTGTAATCAGCCAAAAACAAGAAGTATGCAGACTGTGGTCTTTTGGGTTTGTTTTCATCTTTCATTGGTTTTCCTGTGTAGGCTTGCATTTCTTCATTATATCTGGCTTTATCTTTAGCTGCTAAATCATTGAACTTCTTTTTCTGTGAATCTGTCATAACACCCCATTTAACTGAAGCTTCTTTGGTAAATTCACCTACCTGTAATGTATCAAGTTTCTCATTATTTCAAATAGGCCACAAAAAAAGCATAAACATGAACATGTCTGGGAATTTTTTTCTTTTTCTTCAAAAACAAGAAAAACATTTGCAATTTTATATATGGATATTCTTGTTTTCTTATCTTTTTAAATGTTGTTGATCATGATCTGGTGGGCAATAAGGATGAAAATGAATATGGGAACTCAAACTTTCCCCATCAGACAGTGAAACCTTTTGTGGTCCTTACTACATGATAGTTACCCTTCAATGTTTCCAATTTAAACACCAGTCTATTGGGGAGTCCTACATTATCTTTGTGTAAGAGTCAGGGTTCGACACTAACGCTAGTCCGCTAGCCTGAGGCTAGTAAAGTTTCCATCACAGTAGTCCGACGGGCTAGTCAAAATTTTGTTTATAACTAGGAATTTTACAAAATATTAATTGTCAACAAATCCCACATTTTTTGCTGACCTTTGCTGTCTTTATTGTACAGTTTATCAGTTTATTCATGTATATTTTGATTGTCACCTCAGACATTTTTAACATGAAAGGTACTTTTTGGGGAGGGGAAAGAAACTGAAACAATGATGGTACTTAATACATTGAAAACCATGTGTGTTACAAACGCCGTGATGATTCTGATTAGAAACCTGGATCTCAAAAGTGCTTTCAGAATATCCAAATAATAACATGAATACGAAATTTACATACATTACTACCGATGCCATCACTGTTTGGAAAAATTGTACAACTTATTGGGAGGAATTTTAAGCCATTTTTTTTTAGTAATTGGGAATTTTCTATAGGGGAAAAAGCTGTATTTCGGATGTAGTTTGAGGCAAACAATATCACGGACATATAATATATACTAAATTATAGGTCTCTGGTAAAAATATACAGATTTTTAGGAATAAAATTTCGTCCTGCAAAAAAAAAACTGACAAACAACAAGGGAAAAGAAGGAGTCCATGAAGAATTATGACAAGCAAGGGCAAACCTTTCCTCTTTTGTTGGTGTATTTGTAAATGCCTTATTTACCCATCTTAATTAAAGGCACTAGTGATAAGTAAAATGAGGAGGATGATGAAGTAATGATCTAAAGGGGTCTTCAAAATAAGTCGAACACATTCTTAATATAGATGATTAAAATATGAATTTTTTTTTTTTTGTATTTTTTATTAGCAAACCATTGAAATTTCATGAAACAAAACATGTTCAAAACCCTCTGGAAATGCTCCAGAACACAGGATTTTGCTTCATTTGTATCAAAATTTTCTGGGGGGGCATGCCCCCAGACCCTCCTAGATAGGGTCGTGCCAAGTAAGGCACTTGGAGGGCTAGTGATTTGATAAGAGGACTAGTAGAATAATAATTTCACTAGCCCTGCAGGCTAGTACATACATTTAGCAAGTGTCAAACCCTGAGAGTCATTCTATTTCATGTAAAGAGAAAACATAAAATTTGATTTTTCTTTTAGTATCCTAGAATCTGCTTCACCAATCTGATTTTGAGAACTTTGAATTTTTTTTTTATCAAAAGTATGTGTCTGTTCGTGTGTTTGGTATTGAAAAGTTTTCAGATCCTTGTAAGCAAAGCTTGAACACAGGATCTGTATTTTAATGAAGTTATGGTAAAGCTCTCTCATCATGACATGTTCCGTCACATATTTGGAATTTTTCTTGTGGGTAAAAAAAACTTCCCTTTTCTATATTCTACACACATAAACATGGAAATAGTTCCGTTCCCGGACTCAATTTGGATCCGAGTTTACACTGGGGACATTATCAATGGTATTTCGTAGAAATGAAAACCTAAACAGGATGAAATGAGACTGTGTCCATAATAAAGTTTAAAACTTCAGCAAGAATAAAATTTCGAAAGCACAAATTACCTCCAAAACATTTATTGATAAAAAGACATTTATTTTACTTTTGTAATAAATTTGTTGCATCTAATTTCATAGTGTTAAAATCAAAACCTTTTTAACTTATTGCATGTTTGAAATAATTGAATGTATGTAGACATGCTTATTGTATACAAATTCTACAACAACTGGAACAGAAAATGTTAACAAGAATGATGATTTGTATGGAGTGAATGGTAATTGTTTTTACAATATACTGCTTCCATGCACTTTTTAACAGCTACAAGTTATTTATACACGATTTTTTCTTTTATTCCACAATTTATATGAAAAACTTTGAATAACAGGAGGTTCAGAAGGCCTTTTAAGTACTGCAATATGCGTTTTTACAGACCGGTTACAATTTCAGACAGGATAAGGATAAACTATTTCTATATCAATTTCTATTAAAAAGTCACATTAATCAGCTTGTATGACTTGGGACTAAATTAATGCAAAACTGATAGAAGTAATATTTTTCTAAGTTTAGGCTTCCACACTTTCAAGATTCTACAAGCCAAGTCATTACCCTGCCCTTTACAGAAAACTGCAGAAAAGACTATCATAGCTTTATGTTAATATTGGTACCTTGGACATTGCTTTACCACTTGCTTTTGCGTCTTCTCTGCATTGGGCAAGGTAATAAAAATATGCAGACACTGATCTTTTAGGTTTGTTTTCATCCTTTGGTCTTTTGGCTCCTTTTGTGCGACCTGTAAATTATGAAAATACACATAAAATTACTATCCATATTCGTATACCGAAAAATCCTATGTACATGTAATACAGATAGATAGGAAATACGAAAAAAGATTTAAGAATCTGATGTTAAGTAGTTGTCGTTTGTTGATGTGGTTCGTAAGTGTTTCTCGTTTCTTATATAGATTAGACCATTGGTTTTCCTGTTTAAATGGTTTTACACTAGTAATTTTTGGGGCCCTTTATAGCTTGCTGTTCGGTGTAAGCCAAGGCTCCGTGTTGAAGACCGTACTTTGACCTATAATGGTTTACTTGTATAAATTTTGACTTGGATGGCAGTCTGCGACATTAAACGGTAGCCCGAAGCCCCTGTCTAGTAAAAATCTCATCGGACTTGTGCAGAAGCACTGGTGTTTGCCCGACCGGTCTTGTGAACATCTGAAATCGTTTGCGAAATTGTAGCCGGTATTTTATTGAATCTATGAAAAACAAGTTACAAATTTGTCGCCCACCTTGTTTTCTTCCGTTAACTGGTATCCCTATTTAATTATATACGGTTGTTCCCCCTTCTTATCAATGGTACCAGTCGTCAACGCAATATACCCAATCACCAACGAAATCGAGAACGAGGCTCGACCATGTGCTTGCAATAAACACAATCTATAAATACCACTCAATGTAAACAAACAATCAAGGATTCGATCTCATTCGATTCTGAAATGGAAACAGGGGGCTATCCCAGGTAAAACATTGAAAAGTTGAAAATGCCTTCATGAATAACCGGAGAAGTTTCGAGTTTAAAAAAACTTATGCAGAAAACGATCTAGGCATTTTATTATTTAAAACAAAAGTCAAAATTAACGGCGAAAGTGACAATAAAGAGGGTGTTGATAGGGGTTTATAGAATAGAGAATAATGGGCAAAAAAACATAAAGAATATTTGTTTAGAAAAAAATTGACAAAACATACAGAATTGAGAAAAATAGCATAAAAAATAAAGAATACAGAAATGAATGCCCCTTCCAGATCAAAAAGAATTGCCAGAGAATTAACTAAACTTTGACATTTAAGAATCCTTGTTAAGACTAACAAAAATATGAAAGAATATTAGGAATAATTTTTAACTGGTTTGGATCATCCATCAATGACAATGAGGGAATTTTTCCCCAAAAAAGTAACAATCCATAAGTTGAGTAATAATTTACTAGTGCTTATAATGTCTTTTTACTAGAAATGGTACGAGTTTATGGAAAAAAGATTTTTTTTTTTGCAAAAGAACTATTCTAATTTTTTATTTGAGAAAATGAGAATTTTACATTTGACCTGGAGAAAAAAAAAACAATTTTTGATAAGTTACATTCACTTACAGATACAAAAATGTAACCTCAGAATGCAGGATTTTACATCTAATTTTCCAAAATTTTCTTGGGGGGCATGCCCCCAAACCCTCCTAGAAGGTTCGGATCAATTCGTGATCCTCACCGGTGACACAAAATTTTTCAGGTCTAGTAAACATCAATTCGGGCTAGTATTTTTTTTATTCAACTAGCCCTATGGGCTAGTGCTTTGAAAAGTTTTTGGCACAGACTGGGATGGAGGGTTGTCTCATTGGCACTCATGCCACATCTTCTTATATCTAATGGAAAACATTGATAAACAAAATTTTAATCTGCTAACCGAGTCCCTGTGGATTTTACAACCTTCTTGATTAGTTGGTTATATATCTAGACTTCGGTTAATGTACATAAAAGAAGTTACCAGTTAGCTGATAAATAAATAGTCAGATTAATCACCAATGCATATGCTTTCTGTGCTAAATAAGAAGTTTAACCTTTTCCAGTATAAATTTCACCTTTAAAAATAAAAAGGGTGTTTGACATCGTTATTTTACTGATCTTTTAAAAGTAGAAATTTAAAATTTGGTATAGTCTCTGGTATTATAAAATAAAACTAACGTCATTTATCCAAGAATGGACAAAACATTTTTTCTAATAAAGTTTCGCAGTTATTTCCTCATGTTCCTCAGAACTATATTCACACCAATGAATTATTTTTTGATTGGTCACAACAATCAGTTATTTTTAGATTAGTCGTTGTTGATTGATTATATCAAAGAATACACATCACCGCCACCAGGCCGAGAAAAAGACGTGTCTTGTGAAATATTTTAAAGATTTGATAGAAAAAATTTTCAAAACATACGTAGTTACTTATGGAAATATTGTTTTTAATAAACTTCTGTTGTTCTAAAGTGTAGCGGATTCATTTGCCGTTTTTTTTACACAAGTGGGGCTAAATTTCTTTCACTTCGGCAAGATAGGATTTTTACAATTATTAAGGGTTATAAATAAATTGGACATGTACAGGGATGTTTTTAAAATAAATGGGGAATGTGTCCATGGGACATAGATGATGCCCCTGCTTGCAAAGGGACATAACTCAAGAACTGTTAAAGTAAGGCTACCCATATTTGTACTTGATCTGAGTTTTGTGGTAATTAGTATTTTGTATAAGTTTCAAAACATTTGGATGAGGCTAACCGAAGTTAGAGACAGAAACAAAAAATTCAGCAGTATTTCGATTTGTAAAGGGGCATAACTCTAGAACGGTAAAAGTGAGGCCACCAAAATTCAAACTTGATCTGTGTTTTGTGGTAATAAGTATTGTGTACAAGTTTCATAACATTTGGTTGAGGCAAACTAAAATTAGAGAACGGAAACCAAATTTTGGGACGTACGTACAGAAGGACAAGGTATACTGGTCTGGCTTCAATTCTTCCAAAAAAAATGTTCCCTTATTTCAAATTCTAGTAAAATCTCTATATTTCATCTGATTTTGACACTGTATTCAACAAACAGAAGCGCCATCTTTACACATTAATTAGGGTATTTAACAAAGAAAGACAACTTGTGTTTGCAATGTTTTTTAGCAGGAAATGTAAAAGAGGTATTCCGATCCTGGTAAGCCGGGACTCATCGTCAGCTTTCTGAAGCGTGAATTCCGGTGGTGAAAGGGTTAAAGGAACTGTTTCTTTGATTAAGAAAAGAATAATTTTAAAGATAGAGTTTTATTACAATTGATGAAATTACTGTCTAGAAATCAAGCTGTCAGTCTTTTTTGTGACTGGCTTCATGGTGCCAAGAAATAACTTTGTACGATTAATATTTAATAAATCTTCATTTAACCATGTTCATTATCATGATTATTAATCTCATAAACATTACAATGAATTAATTTCAAGGATTTTCCCTTACATATTCAAACATGTGTTAACTAATTAGTTGTGACTTTTTGTCCTTTACAATGTAGTAAATAAGTGACTTTCTGTCCTGTGAATATATCTGTCCATTTACCCAGTAATTGACAAGGTAGGGACTGTATTTAATAGTAATATCTTATCAAAATTTCTGTTGACCAGTATTTGCCAGTATTTCCCGCAGGCCTTTTTGCCAACCTTCATAATAATTTTTTTTTATTGTTTCCTGTAAAATCTCTGGTCATAATGATATTCAGGGGTGAAACTTATCTTTGTAAGGCCAGTAGCCAGCTGGGCTACTAGACTTGAAAATCAGTTAGCCGAGACAAAAAGTTAGTAGCCCACTTTATTTCACTACGAGTATCAACGGTGAAGCCTGCTAATCGGGCTGAACTTGCTAGGGGAGTTTGGGGGCATGCCCCCCCAAGAAAATTTTGAAATTTTAGACTCAAAACCCTGCATTCTGAGCATACCTGGAGGTGATTTAGATGCTTGGGAAAATGTAAATTTTGTCTTATTTTTGTTGTTGACTTCAAATTTAATATAAAAAAAAATCATTTACAAAATGGGAATCTTCATACCCTGTGTACCAGTTTTTTTTTTTTAATATCTTTTTAAGACAACTAAAGAATTCTCTGTCCTTTAAAACATGTAGATGATCGATGAAATGTTTAATTTTATTTCTTTAATAATCTAATTTATTAGATATCTTGATCGATTTATTTTGCGTAACTACGTATATTTGTTAACAAATGACCCCCTTTTTTCTCAAAAGACTTGTACACGAATTTCAAAAGCATTGTCATAAAATTGATATCTCCTCTGATTTTCTCTTTTTTGTAAACTGTTCAGTAAGAAGGAAACTAAAATCATTTTGAACTAATGTTATTTATTTGTGGTCAACAATATTCTACTTTCGTTTTTTACCTTCATTCTCTGGACACCACGTGGGCTTTGAAAAGGGAACTACAAAAGGTACTGTTTTCCAGATTCTTAACAACATTATATATTATACGTTCTTTTATTTGACTGATATTATTTCATAACATGCTATTGTCATCTTCTCTGAATTTCTTCGCTTTCTTGAAGCCAAAACCGAACAGGGTATTTGATCGCTTCATATTGTAAATGACCATCGGAACATCTCTCTTGTTATCCTTACAAACATACGATACTTTCCGGACTTTAATTAGACGACCAATCAGTGACCTGAATTAACGTGAACTATATTTAGTCAAAGGTAAACACTGATTTTACATCCTTGTTTATCGCGACTTTGCGACAATACGACTCTCGACACTTGCCTGTATACATTTTAAAAAGTTTTTTTTTCTTTTTGAATTTAAATTTTTGTCAGTGAAGTAGCCGGCACTTGGAGCCACGGTAAACAGCGGTTTTCCGTCTGTCGATTACTTTGTTTTCAATTCGCCACCTGGGCTACCACAACTGAATAAAAAGATCGCCCACGTCAATTTCTGGTCGCCATGGGCGACCGTTAAGTTTTTTCCCTGATATTCAAAGTGTTATTTAACAACTTGCTGTTGATGCTGAAACCATTCTATCAGCAAAATTCGAAGAGCAATCATCATTTTAACAACCATGTCCAAGCATCCATCAAAGAAACCTCGCCTTGCTGGCCCACCTTTTTTGACAAGTTGGTTAGAGAAGTCTACTCCTTCATCAAATTGTAGTCAGACAGATGAAAATCATCACCATGAGCAAAAGCCCTGAAGTTGAAATTCAATCTTCACCAGAATGCACTGAAAGTCAACATGTACTAACAGACACAAGAAATCCTACCAGTACCATTGTACCACCGAAAGAAAATACATTCACAAAAGATCCAAAGAAACGAAAAACAGTATCTTTGTCTAAGTATGCAGCGATTGGTCTTGTTTTGCCAGTTTCAACAGCTGATTGTGAAAGGTGTTTTTCATGTTTAAACAGAGTTAAAACACCTTTGAGAAATAGATCATGCCAAAAAGACCCTAATGGTAATGCATCTAATATGCATGTGCTTTGTAGTCAGGTTTTTGTTTTATTAGTTGTCATAGCAATGTCATTGTGATGAGTTTGACAGCGTTTAGTATCGTCCGTCTGTCTTTTACATCTTATAAGACGAATAACTTGGCATTTGATCATTATGACAACATTCGTTATTCATTTCGTCAAAGTAATTCACAAAACAAAACCGGTTTACGTTTTTAGAATGTCCCTTTATTTTTAAAAACTAAAAAACTGATCTTTATTTTCTTGAAATGAACTTACTAAAGCATGATTAAAATTTTTCATAACATTACCTTTGAAAAGGGTGCGAACAAGAAGGGGCGAGCGTGAATGGGAGCGAAAGTGTTTTTGAGCTAACAGATCCGGATTTGAAAAAAGGTGTCCCAGCATAACATTAAAATAGCCTTTCTAAACGTCTGAACTATTTGGAACAAGATCTTGACGACAGGATCTAATCTGCCATTTGTCGTACCCGATAAGCGATACTGTTAATGAGTGGCATTAAGGGGGGGTGGGTATCTGCACGGAAGAACGCGAAATAAAATTGCCATTTCACGATGAACCAACAATTAAAAATTTCTTGCACATCTTTTTACCGATTTCACAAAACACGGTGAATAACGAACCTTTTTCACGGCTGCACGTGAAATAAAAATGGCAAAAGACGTTGCACGAAAATAACCCTTTACCACCCTCGTTAATGTTATTGTTAAATTTTTAAGAAGTTTCGGCAACAGGATAAATTTAAAATATTGTAAACGCATCATTTTAATGAAACCCATTTCAAATTGGTAACTCTTTGAATACAACTATTCCCTGGCTAAAATAGAAAAAGTTTTCTGGCATTACAAATCTCGATTTTCGATTCCCGAGCAAGAACAAAGAAAATGTAGCGTGTGGTTATATTTACTTGCTATGACATACGAATATCATTTCATTATAAAAATTTGTTTCATTTTGAAAGGCCTCCTTTAACTTAAATATTAGTTTATCTCACCCATTGTTCAAAATGTTCTTCGGTGTCTACTTCTTTCAAAATGGTAATCGTTTAAAATGTGAGTTTGTCAAAGACGCCGTAAACAAATGTGTTAATCAATTAACCAATGGAAATGAAGCATTTTTCCCGCCATGAGGTAGCTAAAACCGGTAGTAATGATCTACGCCTGGATCCAAAATCTTTGTACAAATTGGTGTTAAATTGTCAACGCATACCTTTCACAGAAATTGTATATGACATGTAATATTTTGTTAATTTGTTTGTTTATTTTTTTTGAAAAATCTTCTGGTACCATATAAACTCATCATAGATACCAGGATTGAAATTTTGTATTTGCGCCAGACGCGCGTTTCGTCTACAACACACTAATCAGTGACTCTAGTATTTCAAAAATTCAAAATGACCATATCAATGATAATTCATGTCAACACATAAGTGCTGTATTAGGCGCATAAAGGACCATAAATCACAAAGGAATATATAATCCACTGAGCCATTGTAGGCTATAATGTAAAAAAAAAAATAAGCGCATTAAAGCTAAAATACTGAAAAGCAGAAAACTTAAAAGTCTTTATAGAGGCATTTGGTTCCTATATTTTCTAAAGACCATAACTGTTTTATTACACTCTGAAACACGTTTCCCTTCATATACAGAAGTCAGGCAATCATATACAGTATGATTGATTGGAATCATATCGCTTTCGAAATATCAGTTGACTATCTGTGATATAAGGGACGGGGATTGACCATGACACAAACCTATATCTATTTATATTTTATTTCTGAATTTTTTGAAAATGCCATTGAAGAACAATTAATGAATGCAGTACTTTGACAATATCTTCAATCAGTTTTGGCAGTTTTAGATCAGGTTTTGGATTTCAACTTTATCAAAAGTGATTGAAGATTTCAAATTAGCCCTTGACCAAAATACCCTCCAGTTATCCTCAGGGGCGGGTCCAGGTGAGGGCGTAATAGGCGTACGCCCCCCTTTTCAAAAAAAAAAACTATCGTAATCTGCTAATATTGTATTGAATATGGCAATTTATCATATTCATTAATTATTTTATGTTTTTTAGCAAAAAAAAGTCCAAAAAAAATTTCGCCGTATGGCCTTTAACAATGAACAAAACCCATATCGCATAGTAAGCTTTAAAAGGCCCTGAAATGATAAATTTAAAAAAAAAATCAAACGAGAAATCCAACGGCCTGATTTATGTACAAAACAATAAACGAATTACAAATATGGTATACAGCAACAAACGACAACCTCTGAAATACAGGTTTCTGGTTTGGGACAGACACATACAGAATTTGGCGGTGTTCATCATATCAAATATTAGCAGCAATAAGTGTCCTTTCCTAGATTTAGACATTTCAGTTTTACACCAGAAACTCTAAAAAAATTTATGACAAAAGGAATGAATTTTCTTTCCCTATTGTTAATTTTCCTTTTTTGGACGCGGCGATGTTCCTTTTGCGCTGTCTTACGGTGTTTATATATCCCAGCTCGCTCTCTATGCCCATACGTGTCTGTAGTGACGTTTGAGATTTTAATGAGCATAATATATGTATTACTGGTAAATAATTAAGTCAGGAATTTCGTTACCACAATTTGGTTAAAACCTTTACTAAATTCTTCCTTAATATTTAGATACTAAATTTTACGGTGATGTTGTTTACCGAGCCCGGAAATTTATATACGACCAGAATAAACTTATCAATCCTTTAAATAAACTTATTCTAAAGGGTTACCAATTCAACACTGTAATTATATCTTTGAATATTGTTTTTATTGGTATAAATATTGATTTTGTTATCCGTAGATTAAAATCATACTAAAAAGTATTTATATACACATACTAATATGCACTTTCACGGTACTACAATCTGTCGATACCTATATTTTGGCATTACACAAGATCATGTTTTGCACTGCATGGACTAAGTCTATTGTGTTACGGTCCATGCATGCATGCATGGACTACGTTAACATTAGTTGCCTTCGTCCATGCATGCATGGAATAAGCTTAGTTCCAAAGTTTTCATGTTTACATAACATGAAAAGGTTTAGTCATACTATCAATTGTTTGCAATTTATTTCTAAAGGTAAGTTATAACGCACAATATGTCTTCAAATCATAATAAATAGGTTGAATTTGAAAAAAAAAAAAAACTAAAAGGAAAAAAATGATATTTACATCAAATTAAAAAATAATCTAACTAACATCATGAAATTTATCAGTAAGAAGTAATACAGGTTTTCTAAACTTGCTGTTGATTTCCAGTTTTATTTAATACCTTGTTATATACACAATCATTTACCGTAACAGTAATTATAAATGGTCCGGAGTCCTGTTTTCGCAGTTCTAATGACTTTTTAATGTAGGACCCCAATTTATTTGCTTGTGATGGTTTTAAAGGATTGAGCATAAAAGTCACCTTTTCTTCATCAGACAAATCGTGAACAGAAAACTGTATTTCCAAATTATCAAAAACTTTTCTCAGCTCCCCTTCTATTTAATTTACAATCTAATAGAACATGTCTTTCATCTTCTAATATGTTGCATTTTAGGCATAGTCTCTGCTCTCTAGGATTATTAGAATGTCTTCCTTTTTTATATTTAAATTATTGTCTCTAATTCTTAGTTTTGTCATTAATTTTCTATATGTAAAGTTTGGTGTTTTTAAATAGTCTTCAAATATTAAATTTTGTTTAAGGTTCTTATATAGATAAAGTTTACTTTTGTAATCATTTTTTTTTTGCATTTTATTATGAATCAAATTTTCAAAAGTAGTTTTAAGAAATCGTTTTTTTTTTTTATAACCTTTAAATGAATTATTTATTTTTAGGTCTGAACTAGTCCGCATGATCTTGTAGGAGGGGTGGACCCTTCTCCCACCTCCCGCCCCTATCTCCTACCTCTCGCCCCCACCTCCCACCTCCCTCAAAAGCAGTCCACCCCCTCTTGTAGGACTTGTGTAATATCTTAATGTTATGCGGGAAAGAGGGGGCAGGACAGACTAAGGCAGTTGCCTCCCCTCTCCCGCTGAAGGTTAATGTTGTCGTCGCTCTTGTGTTTACATAGTCTCTGTTCACTATTTTAACTACGACAATTTGGGGGACTGTCGTTCGCGTTCTTTCGATGCCTCCTGGTGAATAAAACAAAGATGTCTATATATGTTTATTTCGAGTCCAACCATTAGAGTAATTTAATCAAAATACATTAATATGAAATAAAAGAGTTTGATTCTTAAAATGAACTTGAATTAACAATTATCAAAATACTTCATTAATTAATTAAAATAGTTTATTATGATATTTATGGTAACGTTAATAAAGAAAGATTTCTGTTATAAAATAGTTACATTAAAAGATTAATAAGGTTACGTTATATTTTTCATTAAACAAATTTATAAGTTTACGAACCTGGTGAATAAAACAAAGATGTCTATATATGTTTATTTTGAGTCCAACCATTAGAGTAATGTTTGATTCCTTAGGGTTTCCTATTTTAAACCCTAAGAACACGTGCTGGTTGGACTTGTTTTATTCACCAATCAAAATGACTTTTAGAATACTTATTTTTATAAGAACAGTTTCTATAGGTTAGATCTCTTTTACCTTATTCACATTTTTACATAATTTGGGGTTACTATTTTTAATTACTAAATACCTTGTTTTTATGACCATTAGGGAAATCCGATTATTTTGGTTAGATAGAATTCTATGTGAACAATAGAAAAGAATTAATATATTTGCTAAAGGAAATACTTCTAAGAGTTTAAGCTGTCAAACCTTATTTATATCGCTAAGTGTCAAATAGGAAGAATTTCACATCTAATACTTATATATCAAAAGTTACATAACATTAGAGACTTTCTAATTATATCTTTTTACACAAAAAGCTTTATACAAGAATTATTTATTTTCTACAAATACATGTAAGATTAACTTAGTTTTATATGAAATATTAAAATGTATTTCTTTAAATATTTTACCTCAATTTACCATCATTATATAAATCTAGTTCACATAGGAATATTTTTTACATATATAGGTAAACCTATAATGATTACTTCAAAATACGAAAGCACACATAATAATATCTATTCTATAAGAACTATAGTACAAAATAAAAATGCAATCAGTTTCATGTATTAATCCCATGTTAACCATAACCAGTCACAGTATGTTGAATTACAAAACTAGTGGTGATAGTATTCAAAAGGTAGATAACTCTGTATAATTAAGTCCGTCATATGGTTGTTATTCACAAGGAACATGCATATGCATACAAATCTTAAAATTCACCCGCGTGCATTATGGGTACTTAGATGACCACTGTATCTAGGTACATGTTCGTTATTATGATATTCATGGCTTTTTTGCTGATATATATTTCTCAAGACAAAACATGTTGATTACAAATAAATCTTCTTAAAAAAGTTTTTTCATGAAATTTCATTGATAATATTTTATATATGAAGCGATAACAGTGGCGGATCCAGGATTTTAGGTTAGGAAGGGCGCAAACTTAAATTTTCGAAAAAAATTTTGAGGTAAAATTATCGAAATATTCATTATTAAGCTGACAACCCATGCTTTGCAAATTTTAGGGTGGAGCACACACCCGCATCGCCCCCGCCTGATTCCGCCCGTCCCTCAAGGTAATCCGAGAAAAATCAGTTGAAAAAGACTTCACTCATCAGATCGATACAATACGCATACAAACACTAATAAAAACACAAAAGACACCAAGTACAGATCTGAGAGTATTCGCAGTTACTGACAGCTAGTTCAAAGCCAATAACAACTAATAAAAAAATCATGTTTCTAAGACTAAGATATCAATCAGTACACATCCAACATCCAATCATAGCAATGAATTTATCGTAAAGAGAAAAACATGACCTTGTGCAATGCTAAAATATATAGGTATTAAACCTTAAATTACATATGTGCATAACAATAATATTTACTTTGTTTTAATTTACTGATAACAAAATCAATATTTATAGCGATAAAACAATATTCAAAAGATCTAATTGCATGCAGTGTTGAATTGGTAACCTTTTGGAATAAGTTTATTTAAATGATCAATAAGTTTACCCGA